CAAGGGGAGGGGGTGGCTTTGGAAGCTCTCCTAGAAGATATAGAAAAGAAGCCCTCCTTGCTTTCAGCCTGCTGCCCCAACAGTAACTGAAGGGAACCTGCTGAAATGAAAGTCACATGATGACACTGTTCAAAACCTGTCGGTGGTTTTTGCATAAAAATCAGAGTCTTCACGACCTTCGAGGCCCACCAGGACCTCCGTCCTCACTGCACTGACCTCCTTCCCTTCTATGCTCATCTTCCTGTCCACTCATGGCGTCTTTGCTGCTCCTCCAGCGTGCTAAGCCTGTCCCACTTCAGGACCCTTTGCCGGGAATCCTCTCTGCAGCCCCCATTATGAGCATCTCTCACTTCCCTCAAGTGGCCTTCCCTAGTGACCCTGTTTAAAAGTGCCATCTTGGACTGTCCTCTTCCTCTGTTCTGGGTTACTTCTCCTCGTCTCACTAGTTACTATCAAACGTGCATGTACTTTTCTGATCTATTTTTCCTATTATCTCCTCACAGGGGTAGTGATTCCTTCCTTTCTTCTTCCCTTTATTTTCTCTCCTTTTCCTTCCCCTTTTGCTTTCTTCTGAGTTTTGCGTTGCTAGCAACTGATTTCAGTGCCTGGAACACAGTAGGTGCATAATAAGTACTTGTAAATAAATAAAGATCTTCTAAGCTGCTGCTTTTTCTTTGGTTAGCCCAACTTGATTGCATGGCCATTCCTGAGCCAGTCACCACAAGGGATTTGGGATTACTTTCAATGAAATCAAGATCGGTGCACTCATCCCAGCTCCTCAGGAGGCTGAGATGAGAGGATCACAAGTTCAAAGCCAGCCTCAGCAAATTAGTGAGACCCTGTTTCAAAACAAATTTTTAAAAGGGTGGGAAGGTAGCTCAGTGAGTGGTAGAGGGCCCCTGTGTTCATTCCCAGCACTGAACAACAACAACGTAATCAAATTTATCCCTGGAGCTGGGAATGGGGTTAGTTTTTCCATGAAACACTTGACTGCACACAACTAGACACAATCTGTGTTGTTTCAGGCAGGAATAGAGGGGAAAGTGTATGTTGTTAGGCTACCAAATATGGCTACCACAGATGGTACCAGTGCTTTCTAAAGGCCTCGGTGTAAATACCTGTGGACATTCCATCTCCCCCTCAGCGAGCTTTCCACCTGCCCTGCAGGATGACAAAGACCTTCCCTGTGGAAGGGATGTGGATGTCGGGAAGGGATGGGGAGAAGGGAGCAGGGAAAGAAGAAAAGTATTTTCAGGGAAGCAATGAAGAACACCTTTGGAGAAACCAACAATTAAATCTACAATATGAGAAACCTCATATGCAAACTTCAGATCGCAAAATCAGAGGTGCTGATGGCAATCCCAAACAAGCACTTTTCTAAAATGAAGTCTAATCTTCCTGATGTAGCAGAGAGACTCACTACGGCAGGAGCTCTGCAGCGTGGGCCTCTGCAGGTTAAGGTTTGTGAGAAAGAAACCTCTGAGATGCAGAGCAAGGTGCTGAAGGTCCCTGACATGCAAGGCCCTGAACTTGATGGCGGGACCACCCTCTAAGCCGAGGCTTACAGTAAGAGCTTAAGTGCCATCCGTGGCCGGAGTCTACAAGAACATGCACTTTCACTCAGTCATCACCTTAAGGAGAGGAACCAAAAGAAAGTAAATTCATATCAGGAATTCGTTCAGTATCTGAGAAGATTTAGTCTTGCTTTTTCTTTGAGTTGGTTATTCAGCCCCTGCCATGTGATAGATATGATTCTCAGCACTGAGGACATCCTCTTGCCTCTTTAAAAAAAGGAGGCAGCTGCTTTTATAAAACTGAAAATCCAAATTCCATCCCCTACTTAAAAGTCTTCCAATGTCTCATCATCACATTGAGAAGAATCTCCAAATTTTATCAGTGGCTCCTGCCCACCTCACTGGCCAGAGGGATCTCTGTGTTCTACTTACTCTGACAGCCTTCTTTCTGGTCCTAGCTTTCTTCAAGTTGGTCCTGACCACAGGTCTTTTTCACATGCTGGTCTTGTCTCCTGGATCACATGTCCTTTAGAGCTACTCATGGCTCACTTCTTATTTAGATCTTGCTCACAATTATGCTACCCAAGACACCTTCTTTGACTGACAAGTGTATTCCACACCAGAGGTGGTAATAAGCCTCTCTAGCAACAAGGCTGGTTCCATTATTGGGTAATTCAAACAAATGCCGGTCTTTTACAACTTGAATAGCAAATGTGTAAACCAGGTGATCACCACCCTGATCACACACCACCCCCTTGTCAGTAAACCAACTAGTTATGTTCGTGTCCTTCATATAACTCGTCACTATCTGATGTTCTCCTGGTAGCTTCTCCTCCCCTTGTCCCCTGATTTTTACTTAATTGCATGTGTCACCCCAATAAAGCAGAGAGTTTATGTGTCTTGTCCCTTGTGTATCACTGGCATTGACGGTGCCTAGTTGTGCATCTGACATAAAGTGAGATGCCTGGAAATATGGGTTGAGTGGAAGACCCAGACCTCCTAGCCCTCAGGCAGTTCGTGTTCTGGGAGTAGTGACTATGGGTGACAGAGCTTCAGAGGTGTCTGCATGGACCACTGAATAGTCTCAGAGTTCCAAATTCTGGAATCACAAGGCTATGAAATCAGAAGTAAAGATAAATTGGGAGATGGAGTGATGATGTCACTGCGGGCATCTGGTTGGGGCAGATCTGCACAGATTCCGGGGAAGCACACCTGGACACATCTGGGTAGACGATCTCCAGAAAAGGCTGTAATTCTTGAGCCCTTTTGCCTCATCTTCTGGCCCTGAGCTGGGACAGCCCTCACTGATGGTTCTACGTTGGTGAAAAGTCTCCTTTACCCATCTTACCTAGGATGTCCCTTTAAATTGTTCAGGTTGCCTGGGTGAGAAAATCGGGTTCATTTTATAAACTAAGAAACTCAGATTAAGTGGCTTCCCCAAGGTCACACAGTGAGGAAGCAGCTGGGGCCAAATTTGAGTGTCTTGATGGCAGGGGCTATGAATGTCTTGCGTTGCCTCTTTCCAGAGTGCCCTCCGGACCCTCATCTAACAGACTCAAGTCCACGTCCTACCTTCGCGGACTCAGTAGAGAGACTGGGGGGAGTCAGCAGCTCTGTCAGGCTCTCTCTGAGTGACTTTGGGCAGATGTCGTCCTCTCAGCAGCCTCAGCCTTCTCATCTGTAGAATGAAGGACGTGGCTAATGGCCTTAAGAATCTTTCCAGCTTTGATGTAAGATTCTGGGATGTCAAAAAATAAGAGAGATTGTATTACTGAGGATTGAAAAATAATGATCTTTTATGCTCCATGTGTAACTTTCTATTTCTCAGGCTACCTGCTATATAGTGTCAACAGCGCCTCATATATCAGATGCTGCTGTAATAAGTATGCAATTTGTAGCTGCAATTTCCATTTTATGGCAATATCTGATTTACACGAGGTGTTTCTAAAGCGTGTCACTTATAACGCACACACCTGCCAAGAGTCTGATCTTTCATAATGACTTTCTGGAGAGGTCAGAGAAAGTGCCCAAACCCAGGTAAACAAATAGCAGACGAGTTTTCAACACTAAAGCTTCCTCATCCTGGGGAGGATTTGCATCCCATGGGGGTTGGTGACAGCTCTCCCAAATTCAAACACAAACATTCTGGCCAGGTGGATTAAGACTATGGAATCCTTGTTAACATGTGCTCTCAAATTCTGATTGGGGTTGGGGGCAGGAGGGAAGCTATTTAGAAGCCTGTACATGCACCAGGGGAGGGGGCTGTCATAGGTCAGTTTGCCGAAAATCATCTAAGAATCAGTTCACTGAATGACCAGTTCGTTGAATGGTCAAATCTATTGATCACTTAAAATTTTTAAGGTGAGTACTCAAAGGGCAGAAGCAGAGGCAGGGAGAGAGGCAGGGGCATTTAGGAAGAGTATTAGTTTGGTAACTTTTTCTTCCTGTTTATTGGGCTTTTGGAAAATCGGTTATTTTATACAGGTTGGATTTTGTTTAACTGGTTTTTTGGCAGATGGGTCTGTTTCCAAAGGGGTCAGTGCAGTCAATTGGAGGTCTGAAAATTTTGACCTTTTATGTTCTGCTGATGCAGATTTAAGGGCCACCTTTGTCTCTCTGCCTCCAGCCAGGTAGAACGTCCCTGAGCCATTCCCATGATCCCCAGGAAGGGAGAGAGTGACAGTAGTACGGTTGTGTGTAATGGACTTAATCCTTACCTTGCACAACCTGAGTTAAAAAGATTCCAAAGAATCTTCCTCAAGTCTGGCAGGAATTTAGTGGCCTTTGAAGCACAGTCAGGCAGACACAAACTTTGGGGAAACTTGATCCTCTTGCAAGCCTCTGAAGCCCTTTCAGCCAGTCCCCAAACACCGCTGCTCCTGTAGTTACGCTGCTGGGATGTTGAGACAATTTCCTGTGCTAGTGTAATAATCACAAAAGCACCCAAAGGCTAGGAAAGGTCAGGGGAGTGAAGATGAGTTTGGACACTGCATCTATGATCCAGCTTCTCCTGGACGTTCTGAGGTCCAGTTAAGCAACTGAACATAGTTGACTGCCTAGCAGAACAGAGCCTGGCTGAGAAGAAGGTGGGTTTCTGCCCCAGGGATTTGACTGCTTGTTTGAAACCCCTTGAGCCTTGGATGGCCTGTGAAGCTTGTATAAGTCTGCAACACCAACTACTCATTGCTGTAGCCCCAGGGTCAGCACTGTGCCACTGTGCTTGGTGGCCAGTCTCAGGAAACATTTGGGATGGATGGTAGCCTTGAAAGACATGCAATCACAAGGTGCCTGCCATTCTTCTCTCACTCCCAGCTGCTCTGTCACAATTGAGGACTTTCTTGGCCCATAACAGGTGTAGAGAATGACAGCGATTTCTTGATTCTGCATTGTGGCTTATTTCCTGGTGGTGGGCATCGCCTATCATGCTCTTGAATATGCATGATTGATTTAAAAAAAAAATCCAGGAATGCCCTATTTTCCTTGTAGGAACGTCTACTTCTTCAATACCCAGCTCAGAAGTCATTCTCTGTGTACCACCTTCCCAGTTCCACCAGGCTCTGAAAATTTTGTGTTGTAACTGTTTGTTCTCACCAGTCTTCCCTGACTACATTATAAAACCTTCAAGGACAGATAAGTCATCTTCATTCCCATTTATTCATTCATTTGTTTAGAGGAAGCATAATATAAAAGTTAAGAGTGCAGACTATGGATTCACAGATAATCTGGGGTTAAGGTCTGATTTCACAACTTATTGGCTATATAATATATGAAAACGACTTAACCTTTTTAAGCCATTATTTCTCACTTGTAAGGATGAGCATAGTGGAAGTATTTTTCATGTAGGGTTGTTAAAAGATTTAAACACATATAATTTATTGGGCTCTTACTAAAAAGTGAAGCATTATGCAGATAATAGTAATTACTATGATTATTTATTCAACAAATACTTATTGCATAAATATTATGTGCCTCCAGGATCTGCCAAGATGTTTGGTATAGAGTTAGGGCTTGGTAAATGTTCACTGAATGGATAAATAATGAACGAGACAAAATAAAGACAAAATAATGAGCAAGACAAACAAAAAACTTTGTTTCTAAATCTGTGTATCAGTTAGGTAAATTGTATTATGCTTTGTAACAAACACCCCACTGCCACTCGCACCAAATTTCAATGGCTCAATTTAACAAAATGTAGTTATTCTTCCTCCTATTATGTTCAATGTGGGATAGCTGAACTGTTCTGCTCATCAAGGGCCAGAATGACCATGGTGCCATGTCAGTAGATGCTTCCATGACCTGTGGCACAGAGGCAAAGAAATGATACGCTGTCTCTTAAAGCAACACATATCATCTCTGTTCACATTTTATTGAGTAGGGCAAGCCACATGGCCCTGGTACTTTAAAAGAGAGAGGTAATTGCAATTGTATCCCACTCCGTGTCCAAAGGAGGAAGACAGAAATGTTTACGAATATCCCTCCTGACCACCACAGGCTAGAAGTTGATGATACACTCTTCTGACTAATACATGAGTCACTTTTGGCTTACAAAGACACCCCCCCCTCCCCGCCCCTGGCCCCGTTCAAAGTCAATGTCAGCAGCTAGCCCCAGGCCTCTGGCTTGGATTAAGTTTTCAGAGTAGGTATTTTTTCCCTTTTCATTCCTTCACTCCATTATGTTTTAAGCAGATGAGTGATCCTGTCAGTCTCAAGAAATAGCAGAAAGAAATATATTTATGTAAAACATCCTATATTCTAATTAAATTTCCCTGCCACCCCAAGGTTTGGGCTTGGATGCTGCTTTGCATTTCAAAAAAAAAAAATCAAAACAAAATCCAAAATTCAAGAAAGCTTGCAAAATGCTTTCTTGTTGTTCTCCATGGCTGACATGTAAATGAAAAGAATGTTTTTATTTCCCCCCACAGCAAACACCTTTGTTTTTTGTTGCTTGATGGCTTGGAACGGGGTTCTGTTTAAAGACAATTAAAAGCAGCTTCTAAATGCAGAAACCCAGTGAAGCAGGCCGAGGGGAAGATGTACATGGTGGGTTAAGTGGGGCAGATCTTCATCAAGCAGTTATGAGTCTCTGAGGAAGCTTGGCCAGGCCTGCATTAACTCTGGGCTCAGCCAGAGGCTCCAAGAGATCGGTCACCACGTCAGCCCTCCTCCTCCACTCTCCCCTGCAAATAAAACTAGGGGGTATAATAGTTGTCTATTTCTGTATAAGAAGTAACTCCCAAACTCAGCAGCTTAAAACAACAAGCATTTATTATTGCCCACAGCTTCCGAGAGTTGGGAATCCAGGACTGACGTAAGGGGTGGTTCTGGCTCAAGACTTCTCAGGGGGTTTCTTCCAGCTGTGGGTGGGTTCTCTAGCCCTCTGAAGGCTGGGCTGGGGCTTCGGGGCCCTTCCCAAGCTCTCTCCTGTGGTTCTTGAATGGCTTCAGCTCCTTGCTAGCTGTCAGCCAGAGGCCTCGGGTCTCATCTGCGTGGTCCTTGCTGTGACGTTCATGATATGGTTGCTGACCTCCACAAAGTGATGGAATAGATGGATAGATACACACATAAATACTAACAGAAGATAGAAAGAAAGAAAGATAGAAAGACCAAGATGGAAGCCACAGTCTCTTACAACCTAATCACAGAAATGACGCACATCACTTTTGCTACATTCTTTTGGTCACATGGACTGACCCCTGGTACCCTTTTGCAAGGAGAATACATACGGAGGTGAGTATCTGGAGGTGGGGACCTTTGGGTGTCTTCTTGGAAGATGGTGACTACACGAGGCACACTCAGGCACACATATTTAAAAATCCGGAAACTGAAGAGAACAGACTTTGAGTATCCACTGTGGCCAGAGCGAGGCTAGGTAATTTATGTAGGTTATCTAAGTTCTCATAGTCACCCTGCAAAATAGGTGCTGTTATGGTGTCTCTTTCACAGAAGAGGGAATGAATTTCAGAATGATTAAGTGGTGAAACGCCATCTGGTTAGGAAGGGGTAGATGGAGCCGGGGCACAAAATCTGTCACCTGCAAAACACTTCGTGGAGCCTTTTTCTCACTAGGGTACAGCAAGGACAGCACAGAGTAATCTCAAAAGTGGCCTTTGAGGGCGGCCCCACCCAGACTTGGTTCTAGATACAACCACTCACCAGGTGTGTCCTTTGGTGAGTTACTCAATGTCTCTCAGCTTTTCTGTCCTCATCTGTAAGATGAGGACACAATTAAAGGTATCCAGTGCCTGGGCTTGCTGGGAAGACTAACTCAGGTGATGGATGTAGGCTTCTCAGCTCAGGGCTTAGCACAAACGCTCCAATGGGTGTGTTCCCACCCCTGCCACCGACTAGAACCAATCCCGTCTCCTCGACGAACCTCAGTTTTCCTATCTGAGAACTGAAGGAATAAGATGATATGTCCAAGGTCATCTTTAATTCATAGTCCATGGATTTTTTTTTTAAGAAAACATAACATTTATCTGAATTTTCACACTACTTAGCTGGGCTTGAGTTTCCAGCCACCTCTTTCCAGCACAGCTAAGTAATATGAAATCAAAGTACTCTCTAATTATATTACGGTAAAAGGTCGAGATTTCCTTAAGCTGGAACTTGAAGAAAATGGATCGTGGCTTTCTCTTTATTAGTCTATACTCAAAAATGTCAAAAGGAGGCCCTGGGGTGTAGGGAAAGACAAATTGGGTAAAAGACTCTGGGGACAAACTTTCAGCTTTGACTGACTGGCTGTGTGAGCTCAGGGGAGGTTCTGGACCTCTCTGTTTCTTGTGCTTGCTCATTTTTTTTTTCAGATGACAAAAATGAGTTTGTCATCTGCCTTATGGTCAAATGAATTTGGGACACTCAATACAAGTGAAGTAAATCCTTAGGGAGAGAAACCCTAAGGAGGCATGAAATCCTAGAGGCTTTCCAGGATGACTCTTGGTTGGACCCTTCCCTTCATAATAAATATCCTGGGACCTCCCACCACGCAGGGCAGGAGGGCCATGCCAATGAACTTCTAGAGAAAAATGGCTGTTTGGACATGCTGAGGACCTTTTCACATTCCTTTCCCTAATGGATTTCTCAGAGGAAGAGGCACAGAGGTGTCTGACAAAATACCCTTCCCTTGTCTTTAACCTCCGGGGGCAGAACTGCTGGGGGCTGACCTGATGGTGGAATCCTGACCACTTGGTCTCCACCAGGGCCAAGGACAATGGGAACAGGGGACAGGAAGAAAGTGAACTGCAGTGTATCTTCCTCCCCTGCCTCCAGGTGGGACAGTTCAGGACCAGCTCTTCCACGGGCCTCTGTGGGCACTTGTCCTGCCTGGCTGTCACAGGCGCTGTTTGGAACCAGTGCTGTCTCTCTCCCTCTTCTGGGACCTCATCAGCATTTTGTCATTGGCACCAGCCCCATGGGTGTGGAATTATGACCCATCATGACGGCAGAAGCTTGCCGGAGCTCCTTGTTTCATGTTGTACCGATAGGGGGCACCCTGGTCCCTGATGCTAGGTAGGGCTGGAGTTTCCAGCCACCTCTGTCAACCCCTCCGCACCCCACACCCAGAGTGCAGCAGACCGTGGCTGGAACAACCCACCACCGGTCCCCCTTACGGTGGAGTGGCTCTGTTCCATTTCTGATCTCATCTCGGGAGATGCTTTTGAGCAAGGTGAGGAGCCCTCCTGCACAGCTATATGTTTTGACACTTCCTTATCACTGTCCTGCATTTTTCTGTTTGATTCAGAGCCGTCTGTGAGCCAACTGCAGCAAGATCTTCGGTGCACGTACAATTTCGTGCCAGCTGAAAAGCCGTCTCCCAGTTTTTTGAACCGAAGTTTTTACTGAGCTCATTGTACATTCACACGCACCAGCAAGAAGTTTAAGAGAGGGATCCTGGACACCTGCCATCTGGTTTCTCCTAATGAGTGCGTTTTGCAAACTATAGTCCAAAATCACAACGAGGACATTGACTCTCTGACATTTTAAAAGAGAATTAAAAGGAAAAGAAATGCTCTCAGGGAAGTGAGAGGGCAGGGTACACGCCTCTGCCCTTGGACTCTGCCAGAGTCTGCTTGCAAGACCCTGAAGTGTGACCCAGCTCTGTGACAAACTCCCCGTGGGACCTTCTGGGAACTCAGCTTCCTCACCAGTAAAATGAGGGAGTGGGAGTGGGATGAGATGTCTAAAGTTTCTTTTATCTTCTCCATTTTATGATTTTGTACGTGGCTCATGACAGCCCCTGGGGCCAGCCTACTCTGGTCTTTCATTAGCTAAATTGTCTTTTACTTTAAGGCTGCAGAATCATAGGGCTGGAAGTCCTGGCTTTGAGTATCTGTTTCTGTCTTCGTCCCACACTGCATTTCCCTACCCCTGCTCCCCTAGGCTCATGTGACTTGGGGAGGAGAGACAGACACCCCCTTCTGTCCTCTGAGATTGGGTGTATGATTGGCATATCAGGTCTAATTAGATTTTTCCATTGTGTTTGGTTCATACTCACGCATGTGACCTAAGCCAGCCAGTGAGGAGCCATCCAATAACTCGTATTAAAACAGTAACAAAGAGGGAAAGCAAAGCCACCCACCCCTCAATCACACACACTGGGCTCCTTAGGGGATGGGAGATCTGGTGCTTCAAGCAGTCATTTTACCCCGACAGTGAAGAGCTTATTCAGAATTGGGGAATGTGGGGCTGACGGAGAGAACGAGAGAAAGAGAGATGGACCAGATCAGTCCCTGAAATGTCAGCCGATTACTGAAGGACACTATTCATTGCGGCCCTGCAGGTAGATGGAGCCTCTCTTTACACATTAAACTTGGATGGGTAAGAGTTATATCTGGGCAAGACTTAAGACCTGCTGACTTCATGCTTTTGCTTGTGTGGACATCTCTGAAAGCAGGCTCAATCGGAGGGGATAAAATTGGCCCCCACCTGCAAGCCTGGAATTCACAGTGAACTGGAGAGACGGTCATTCTTTTTGGAGATCTTAAAGGACTTTACAGACATGACATCATTGTTTTCAGCTACAATCCAGCTGAAGTCACCTTGGTGCAGCTGCGTCTCTC